AACTAATTCTGCTTAATCTGTATGTCAGTTCTAGTACCCGATAAATACTAGCTGAATGAATGAAAAGCATATTACATTTTCATGGTTTTTTTGGTGTCTATGGGAAGAGCATTTTTAGATCTTGTTTATTAGAATTTTATCTTCAATTTCCTCTAGAAAATTATGCAAATAATGCCTATCTTCTAAGGCACTTTGTAAGAAAGTGTAGGTCAGTGTTTCTGGGGTGATTTTTTTCACCCCAGAGGACATATGTATGGCAGCATCTGGAATCATTTTTGGATGCATACAAGCCCCGCAAGAAATAATTATTTGGCACAAAATGTCAATAGTGTCAAAGTTGACACCTGGGGTAGGTGAAAGTGCCTAGAATTTGTTGGGTCAAAGCTTTTTTATTTTGTTCCACATATTGGAGTTCACCTCTTTGGACATCATTAATAATAATTACATCAAGAATAATATTTTAAGCCGGGCTCGGTGGGTCAGCCTGTAATCCCGTGCCTTTGGGAGACTGAGGTGAGTGGATTGCCTGAGTCCGCGAGTTCGAGACCCGCCTGGGCAGCAAGACCTCATCTCTACAATAAATCAAAAAATCAGCCAGGCGTGGTAGCGCACGCCTGTAATTCTGGCTACTTGAAAGGCTGAGACGGAAGGATCGCCGGAGCCCAGCAGGCGAGGCTGCGGTGGCCGGGAGCGGCCACTGCACTCCAGTCTGGGCGACAGAGTGAGACTCCAACTCAAAAAAAAAAAAAAAAAAAAAAAAAGAAGAATATTTTATATTTGTTATTATGTTCTTTCTGTGTTCTGACATGGCTAAGCCATAATATTTACAAATGTTATTTAATTCTCTCAAGCGTGCTGTGAGTTAGGAACTATTATTATCATTTTTCAGATGAGACCAAGACTTGAAATGTTAAATATATATTCAAGATCTTGATGGTACACAGTAGTAGAAGTAGGATGAGCTTTTGACCATTCCACAATCTTGCTTTGTTTATAAATATAGTCTCCACCTTAAAGTCTAAACGGCTATCTGCTTTCATTGTTCAGTAGAAACCACAGCAGAAAATACAGAGGAAATTTAAACTTTAAAAAGTCATTATTGCCTAGGTGTTTGTCATTTTACACTTGTCCTAATTTGAACAAAGATACTGTATATAGACCGGTATGCACAGACTATTGTTGATCCAAGGATCAGAACAAATCTGCTATGTGCTGCTATTCTGTGGGATTCCCAGGAAGCTCAAAGTAAGCTCTGAGAGTTTGTTTTCATTCAAAATTGAACTTGTCATAGCCGATCAACACATTGTGGACTAGATGGGACTTTTCTCCTATTAAGGTGTATGAGCAGTGACAGTTCACCCTGCATAATCTTATTAGGAGCTTTCTTCAGAACTACATCATCTTCTTACATAATTATAAAAGAACCACTCATGAGTAAAACACGCCTGCAAGAGAGCAAGCCCGGGGGGTAGAGGCTGGGCGGATGGGGCCTCTTCTCCCCTTATGGACGACTCAGCTCAGGCAAGTGGAAAATTCACTATTTGGATGCATATTCATCATTGCTAGGTCCATCTATGAGTACTTGGTTAACTTCCAGTGGTAACATCCTTGAGCCTGTTGGCAGATAAATGCTAAGGAAATTCTGTCATCCTCAAGTCTTGGTTTGTTTCTTGGACCCTAGGAGATTGGCATGTTGAGACAATTAAGAAGCATATTCTTTCCATGTAGGAACTCGGATATCCTAGTGCTGCTGTTTCACACTTAGGACATTCTTTCCCTGTGTGTTTCTATCACACTTTGAAGATTCCAATGGAATTCTCAAAAACATACTCAACTCTATTCATTTGTCTCACTTTCCTGCTTCTTCTGAAGAGTAAATACTAATAGCACCAGACAGTTTTTTATTCTTAAATGTTTTACATAAGTGTGCTCCTCTGATTTCAAATAACCCTTGAAGGTCCTGCTACACATTAGTGCTTTTCATCCAGATAATCATGTTCCCCAGAGGCCAAGTGGCATATAGAGTCATTGCTAGTCACTGTTCCACCCGGAAGATGTTATTTACATATAAGATGTCATTTGAGGCTATCTCCTGGGGACAAAAGTGATTAGTATGCCTTATGCCTTTACTCTTCTCAAAAGAATCACGTGATATGCTTTTGAATTTATTTTTCCCTTAGTAAGTTAAAACGTGAATGACTAAATAAGATGTCACTGTGTTTGGGACAGTGTCTTCCAAATTGTAATGTGTCCATTTGAAGCTCTCACTAATAGGAAGATTCTGAGCCTGAAGTTCACTTTTCTACCAACTTCCAGGTCAAGTTCACATTGCTAGACTAAGGCCCACACCTTAATAGCAAGATATCAAGGAACATTAAGATGGATTGAAGCCCGAGCTACCGATAGTATCAAACTGATCCAATTAAACTCATTTTTTCCTATGCTACCTTTAGTTGTATAAATTGTTATTTAAGTGTACAAAGAAATTTATTCTGGAGGGAATGACTCTCTTTCAGTGGCAAAACATATATTTGTAAGTTTTTTTAAAAGAATTATCCAATTCTTGATCTTTAATAAGGCATCAAATCTCTGTTTTTACCCCAAAAGAGATCTCTCCCACCTTTTAAGATTTCTAAACAATAAAAAATGAGTTTTACCATTTCTGGTCATCAAAGGCATTTTTCAGATGATTTACAATTTTTTTAAATGTTATAGAACAAATGTACAATATCCTTGACACTTAAATAACATTTACAGTGGTTTTTTTTTCTTTTTAAATTGCATTTCTAAAGATAGCTAAGGGAACAATTTCAAATCGTTCCTCTGTGCTTTTAGATATAAGTTGTTTAAATCTCTGTGTATTGGTGAGAATTAAGAGACTCGAAGCTTGCCATGTTCTGTCATGCTAGCTTATTTTGTAGGGAAATCAAATCTGGCACCTTTCAATTAACTTCTTTACCTCTCTAATCTAAAAACAGATGGAATGCATTCTGGAGCAAGAAGGCATGATTACTATCTGTGAATTGCCTTGACTTCTTCAACTGTATCTTCTATCATTTGAAAATTTGCTAAAAGTTCTTCTATAAAAGCAGGAAAGCACAGAAAGGAGGAAGGCGGTAGTTGTTGAAAAATAATTTGTCCCCTATCAGGAGCTTGGCAACTCCTCAAGGGATCTCAATGTGTTTCATCTGGATCTGCAGGTCCTGAAGGACGGGATAAGTGAAAATGTGTCATGGGCTGGAGCTTGGTTATGTCCTTGGTGACTCCAGTGAAAGCTATTTTGGAGGAAGACCAGTAGTGGGGAGGCAAGCAGTGGAAATTTAAAAAGAAGTCTTCTGTCTGCCTTCATATGTGCTTCTTTGCATTACATTTATACTACTTCATTGCAGCGTCAGATCAAAAGTATGAATCTTTTTTAAAAACAATTTTTTAATGGCATGAGGACGTGGTCAAGACCTGTCACTCGGTAACTAAAAGAAAAGTAAATAATGATTTCAGTTTTATTAAGTATCAAACAAAAGTAATTAATTTAACTAGTTATCTCTGGACGATAATATAATGAATAATCTTTATCATCTTTATACTGTATTCTTATATTGTATTCTCCAAAATTCTCCATTAAGCATGAATAAGCTTTGGTATCAGAGTTTTAAAATACACTTTAAAAAGTGATGGCAACTTATAGAGCTAAAACTTTTTTTTTTTTTTGAGTTGGAGTCTCATTCTGTCACCCAGACTGGAGTGCAGTGGCCGCTCCCGGCCACCGCAGCCTCAACCTGCTGGGCTCCGGCGATCCTTCCGCCTCAGCCTTCCAAGTAGCTGGAACTACAGGCGCACACTACCACGCCGGCTCATTTTTGATTTATTGTAGAGATGAGTTCTTGCCAAGTTGCCCAGGCTGGTCTCGAACCCGCGGGCTCAGGCAATCTACTCACCTCAGTCTCCCAAAGGCACAGGATTACAGGCTGAGTCACCGAGCCCGGCTGAGCTAGAACTTTTTAATAGCACAGTAATCTGAAAGATCATATATAGTAAATGTATTTGGAAATGTAATGCATTTGGATTAGTGTTAATATGGATGCATCTTTTTAAATGATCTCATCAGTCCCCATTTGCAGTTTTAAAATGTATAACTACATAGGGCTTTGCATGTTTCTCTTAAATTTCACTAGTTGCTCAGTCACTATCCCCATCTTGAAACAAGACTGTGACCTGTAAGCTCTGAAAGCAACCATTAGTAATTGATTCAGTGGATTCAGTAATGATTCTGTTGCTGTTACTTATTTGGATATGCAAATAGATACTTAAGAGAAGGTACTGATTGGGATGCAAAATTCATAATGTGAATGTGATTACAAACAGGATCTTAAAAAAAAAATTTTTTTTTTAAAGACTGAAGAGTCTCCCTATGTTGCCCAAGCTGGTCTCAAACTTCTGAGATCAATTGATCCTTCATTCTTGCCTCTCAAAGTGCTGGGATTACAGTTGTGAGACACTGCACCAGGCCATGGTCCTTTAGTCATTTATTTCTTGAATACCTTTTCAACTAAATTACTGTGGTTTAAACTACCCTGGGGTCAGATGCCATGATTCATGCCTGCAATCACAGCACTTTGAGAGGCTGATGTGGGAGGATTGCTTGAGCCCAGGAGTTTGAGACTAGACTGGACAACATAACAAGACTTATTCTCTATAAAAATTAAAATTAAAAGATGAGTTAGGCGTGATGGTGCATGCTTGTAGTGCCAACTATTCAGGAAGCTGAGGTGGAAGGATCTCCTGAGCTCAGGAGATTGAGGCTATGGTGAACCGTGATGGTGCCACCGAGACTCCAACTCAAATAAGTAAATAAATAAATAAAATAAAATACACTGTAACAACGGCAGCCCCTGCTTCTTTGTATTTAGTCCCAATTGCATTATTTTTGGATGATTTATAGTCATTTTGGCACGTCTTCCATTACTACCTTTAACTATGTCCTCTTTTCTTTCCTACAACAGATTGCAGATTGAACTCAACCAAAAAGTTCATAGGCTAATCAAGGCTGGCCTGACCTACAAGAGAAGACAGGAGTTCTGCCTGCCCACTTGGGCTTGTGTTGACACCACCGGCCACTTGGCACCACCCATTGCCTGTGTGGAAAATTCTCCCTATTGAATTTTTTTTGCACATGGAGGACAACAGCAAAGAGTGCAACACAGGCTGATAAGACCAGAGATAGCAGGAAGATTATTTTACCATATAGTCTCCGAACTTTCCCTGTAGCTGGAGTTCTGGACTTGGACAGAACCCTGTCCCATTGTTTTGATTTTGCTGTCTTGTTTTTTTCTTTTTCTTTTCCTGACCACATTGGATTTTATTTCTGTACTTCAGAAATGGGCCTACAGACCACAAGGTGGCCCAGCCATGGGGCTTTTTTCCTGAAGTTTTGGCTTATAATTTCCCTGGGGCTCTACTCACAGGTCTCCAAACTCCTGGCCTGCCCTAGCGTGTGCCGCTGCGACAGGAACTTTGTCTACTGTAATGAGCGTAGCTTGACCTCAGTGCCTCTTGGGATCCCGGAGGGCGTAACCGTACTCTACCTCCACAACAACCAAATTAATAATGCTGGATTTCCTGCAGAACTGCACAATGTACAGTCGGTGCACACAGTCTACCTGTATGGCAACCAACTGGACGAATTCCCCATGAACCTTCCCAAGAATGTCAGAGTTCTTCATTTGCAGGAAAACAATATTCAGACCATTTCACGGGCTGCTCTTGCCCAGCTCTTGAAACTTGAAGAGCTACACCTGGATGACAACTCTATCTCCACAGTGGGGGTGGAAGACGGGGCCTTCCGCGAGGCTGTTAGCCTCAAATTGTTGTTTCTGTCTAAGAATCATCTGAGCAGTGTACCTGTTGGGCTTCCTGTGGATTTGCAAGAGCTGAGAGTGGATGAGAACCGAATTGCTGTCATATCAGACATGGCCTTCCAGAATCTCACGAGCTTGGAGCGTTTGATTGTGGACGGGAACCTCCTGACCAACAAGGGCATTGCTGAGGGCACCTTCAGCCATCTCACCAAGCTCAAGGAATTTTCCATCGTACGTAATTCACTCTCCCACCCCCCTCCTGACCTCCCAGGTACACATCTGATCAGGCTCTATTTACAGGACAACCAGATAAACCACATCCCTTTGACAGCCTTCTCAAACCTCCGTAAGCTGGAAAGGCTGGATATCTCCAACAACCAACTGCGAATGCTGACTCAAGGGGTCTTTGATAATCTCTCAAACCTGAAGCAGCTCACGGCTCGGAATAACCCTTGGTTTTGTGATTGCAGTATCAAATGGGTCACGGAATGGCTCAAATATATCCCTTCATCTCTCAACGTGCGTGGTTTCATGTGCCAAGGTCCTGAACAAGTCCGGGGAATGGCCGTCAGGGAGTTGAATATGAATCTTTTGTCGTGTCCCACCACGACCCCCGGCCTGCCTGTCTTCACCCCAGCCCCAAGTACAGCCTCCCCAACCACCCAGCCTCCCACTCTCTCAGTTCCAATCCCTAGCAAAAGCTACACACCTCCAACTCCTACCACATCGAAACTTCCCACAATTCCTGACTGGGATGGCAGAGAAAGGGTGACCCCACCCATTTCTGAGCGGATCCAGCTCTCTATCCATTTTGTGAATGATACTTCCATTCAAGTCAGCTGGCTGTCGCTCTTCACCGTGATGGCATACAAACTCACCTGGGTGAAAATGGGCCATAGTTTAGTAGGGGGCATCGTTCAGGAGCGCATCGTCAGTGGTGAGAAGCAGCACCTGAGCCTGGTAAATCTAGAGCCCAGGTCCACCTATCGGATTTGTTTGGTGCCACTGGATGCTTTTAACTACCGTGCAGTGGAAGATACCATTTGTTCCGAGGCCACCACTCATGCCTCCTATCTGAACAACGGCAGCAACACAGCTTCCAGCCATGAGCAGACAACTTCCCACAGCATGGGCTCCCCTTTTCTGCTGGCCGGCTTGATTGGGGGAGCGGTGATATTTGTGCTCGTGGTCCTGCTCAGCATCTTTTGCTGGCATATGCACAAAAAGGGGCGCTACACTTCTCAGAAGTGGAAATACAACCGGGGCCGGCGGAAAGATGACTATTGCGAGGCAGGCACCAAGAAGGACAACTCCATCCTGGAGATGACAGAAACCAGTTTTCAGATCGTCTCCTTAAATAACGATCAGCTCCTTAAAGGAGATTTCAGACTGCAACCCATTTACACCCCAAATGGGGGCATTAATTACACAGACTGCCATATCCCCAACAACATGCGATACTGCAACAGCAGCGTGCCAGACCTGGAGCACTGCCATACGTGACAGCCAGAGGCCCAGTGTCACAAGGCAGATGATAAGACTCTCGGGAACACACACGTGTGTGCACATAAAGACACACAAATTACATTTGATAAATGTTACACAGATGCATTTGTGCATTTGAATACTCTGTAATTTATACGGTGTACTATATAATGGGATTTAAAAAAAAGTGCTATCTTTTCTATTTCAAGTTAATTACAAACAGTTTTGTAACTCTTTGCTTTTTAAATCTGAAAAAAATAGTTGCTGAAGTACTGTACAGGGTTGTACAATGAGAACCCAACGCCAAGGCAAAAGAACGAGTGATTCTTCCTTAAGATGCACGCCAACCACTTTGCTGTGGAAGCTGCCACAATAAATTCCTGGTGGTCAGATGAAAGGGCAGATTAAAATGGACTCATCAGGGTAAGATGAATAATGTGAGTAAAAAGAGAAATGGCCCAGATATTTTCATGCTATTTCTATACCTCCTGGTCAGGAAGACAAGTAAAAAAATTTATCATTTAAGAGTGGAGGTTGTTACCCTGATTTGACCCTGTGCAAGAAATGCTGACAGCATCAAGAGGAAGCCAGTTCCCGTGAGATAAGTTAACCCAGGCTGACAGAATCAAGGAAATTGAGATGAGATTTGAAAAGACCTGAAAACCCAGGGGTTGGCTTTCTGACTGGGAACTTAAGAAATCCCTCTTCATGCTTCCCTCGCCCTATGTGATAACACAGTTAGAGACTTGAGTCTGATTTCAGTCATCTTCAGGGACCGGTCTGATGTCGTAGCAAGAAAACTCCCTTTAAAAGTGTTACTGTTCAAATTGTATGTCAGGTTGAATCACATTCAACAGAGATATATTCTAGAATACTTTTTTTAGAAGAGGCTAATAAAATAAAGGGAAGAATTATATTGAATGGAATTATTTTTGATAATGAGAATTATTTCAGTAGATTCACTGAGGCTATGTCAACATGATATTTAGACCAACAAGGGATTAATGTTTGGAAAATACAACCATGACTTATTTTAAAATTATTGATAGTACTTAGACAAAAACGACTGATCAGTGGTTCTGTTATACTATGTCAACTGATTTTGTTAGTATCATGTTGAAATAGCTTGAATTAATACCTTTATCCCCTCACAAATTCCTGTCTTCCAATCATCTCCCATATATTTTCATAATTAGTTGTTTATGCCACCTTTACTTTTCCTCCCTCTGCTCAGTATTTCAAGTGAAATGATGGATCCCAGTCTTGGCTGCACAAAATATCTAGATGTACCTCTACCTTTTTAAATGCATACTAATTTCCACTGCTAATAATTCTTAAAGACACATCAAAACTGGCCAAAATAATGAAGTTTTTAAACAACGATACCAGATTTCATCCTTGGTCTGACTTTGATCCTGTTCCACTTTTGAAATTTCATTTGTTCCTTTTCAATTGTGGATGTGCCTCTACTTTGGGGATTGTGGAGGGATAATCAATCTTATATTAGCAAGACAACCGAAGAAAAATGAACAAGTCAGTGGGTGAAGGCTTGTTCTCCTAATGCTAGCAGAGCAGGGCATAGAGCAGAGGGCATAGAGATGAGAGGGATGTCCGTGCTTTATTCTAGATCTTTCTGAAGCAACATCCATCTTCAGAAAACACATATAATTTACTCTAACCCTTGCCATCCCTTAGATAGAGAAGGGCTATAGATCATATACATTATCTAAAACTACTCTCTTGGAAAATTCTTTCAAAGATCAGATTTAGACATTTCATCCTGTGCTGCATATTTCCTGTACCAATGGCCATTATATTAGGGACCATGACATGAATGTCACAATCATCTTACTCTCGCTCTCTTTCTCTCTTTAAGCAAAATAAAACTGTGATGTGTCTTCTCTGTAAAAGTTTAGGTATAAAATGCTATGCAACTTTTTCTTTATAGTAAGAGCTTTATTTTCTTTAATAATATACCCCAACTTATATGTTTTAATCTCCCTTGTCCCTCAGATTAAGCAGAAAATGTAACTGAAGCTATAATGTTGTAGACAAGAATTGAAACTGTGCAGTCAATAGAGCTGAACTTAGCTGCAAATTAATTTAAAGTAATTCTAAAATGAATCGTTTCCATGTTAGTCTATTAACTAGAGGGTTTTGGCTGTTGTTTTTATAAAGCTAGCTCCACACAGTGAAGGGAAAAGACAATCTGGAATGGTGACCAGTGCAGCAGAAAGCCATCTAAAATCAAGACTATGATATGGGGTTCTGTGTACTTTAGCTGGATAATTCCCTTCCGCTGTCCTCTTCCCCTTGGCCGTGTAGATAAAACTGTGTGGTCAAATGATGGTACATTGACTTTTGAGGACTTTTATTTCTTGTTATCCACAAAGTAATAATTCTCATTTATTTGTATTTTGTGTTTAACCCTCTAGCAGGTCCTTTGGTTACTGAAACTTCTTTGTTTGGGTCAGAAAGAACAAGGATGGAGAAGTACCTACTATATCTTATGGGATTCACAGAATTTTGGGGGGCTTATGTTGTACAATGGAGACCCAGTCATGGGACACGATTAGAATGGTCTGAAAGGGTGCCTCTGCTAGAAGGTGATCAAGAAGAGATAGAAACTAGTTACAATCTTTATTTTGATCTTGTGTACAACATGACAAAGACTGCTAAAATGAAAATCAGTCTCCCCTTTGTTATAACATACTTCAGCCCGCACCTGCACCAGGATAGAAAGCACGTCATGGAATCAGTGATGTCTCCCATCCAAGCACTAACCAGGTCCAACCCTACTTAGTTTCCAAAATGAGATGAGATCAGGCATGTTCAGGGTGGTACGGCCATAGACAAGGAATTGCTGATGTCTAACATGTCTTATGGAAACTGTTGAACAACCAACCCTAGGCAATTTATTTTTTGATTGGCATTTTCAATCACAGAATGTATTTTGCAGATATGTCCACTTTGTGGACATTTGGGCCTCTCTTGCTATGCTTATTATGTGTTTTGAGATGATGAGTCAAGAGTCAAGGTTGAAGGCACAAGCCAAGAACATGGGGACAAATTATTCTCACTGATTTATAAAGAGCTTAATGCTGTCTGAACAAATGAGACGATTTCAGATAATATTTGACCACCTACTTTCAGAGCGTGGTAACTGTCCCTGTATGGAGAGCATTCCAAAAGGAAAAGGCATAGTTGTGATCACACAGATTTTACCCAAGGTAGTTGTTAATACCTGATTATTTGGGGAGTTGTGATTGATCATGGAGAGACCCTGGGCTTCCCTTAAACACTGTCAGACGCATTAGTAATCCATTGCCCAGAACATTGCCAGACTGACAGACAAGATTATGTCCTCCTGCCTATTTTCCTTGTGTCACAAGTGGAAAACATCCTCCCCTGTGAGAAATAATGCAATTTCTAATTATCTGGATGTTTGTTGAAAATATATTAGACATCTTCCTTGAGGTTAAAACAAAAAGCATAATGTGACCAGTCTGAAAAAACGTACTAATGAAGTAACTAATATTATAGCTCCGTTTCCTTTTAGCGCGGATCATCATGGTCTTAGCCATTTCACACAAATCAGAACTTCTTTCCCCACTGGGGAGGACAAGCTCTTCATGTTGTGAACAAAGCATCCATTCAAAACACCAGGCAATATTGTAGTCCACAAGGAGAAGAAGCATCACTTGCTCGGCAGACCTCAGCTGCCAAGGCTGTTGCACCTTTTGAACAGTGACGTGGTTAATTTCCATTGCCATCTTTGTTTATAGCATTTCCTCTAACCTATAACAAGGAGATATGACATTTTACTTTAGAAGATAAGAATAGTGATTTTGCTCTTGACTTACCTTCCCAGCTGCATGGGAAAGCAAAGCAGAAAACAGTTCCCCAAAGGGGAAAATATACTTACACAAAACAAAACAACTCTAGTTAGTGGTTTTGTCCAACCTTGCCTGATGGTCTTTTTTAATCACAATATCTGTGGTAAGAATATATAGCTTACATCCTTCTCTAATTTCTTCAGCAAGGTCAAAAGGCAATTGTTAACAGAGATGCTTTTCCTTGAATGTGGGAAAAAGTTTTGTACACGAACAATATGGTTGTTAAAACAAATCAGATTCTTTTGCTATCATTTTTGTTTTTCTAGTTGCACAGTCACCAGAAGAGCACAAAACAAGACCATTGCCACGGGCATTTTTAAATCAGTATAAAACATGCATACATTTGCACCCACATACACAAAGGGGGCATTGGAAGAGATGTAAGATTTGTAATAATTTTAAGGCAAGGTGAAGGCATCACCAACTGTGTGTCCTTCACAGGACTAGTGTATATTCACAGAACGGTAATCCTGACGATTTGTTACTGTCTGAACCATATGTTGATTTGCTTCTGGTTTGTGTTGAGTGTGTTCTCTTTGACAAGGGGCTGGAAGATTCTGCATCACACATCCTCTGAGACCTACCATGTCTGTCGCACACTTTGTTAACAACAAAACTTCACTCTACACTATACAGTACCTTGTTGATATATTCAGTAAAGGCTTATTTTAAAAGAAAACCACATTGTGTTTATCTGAGTAAGTTCATTGGGGTACAGTCAATGCTCGTGCTGTTATTGCAAAAGAGAAATGAAGGCTGCTTCTTGATGTGGAAGGGCAGGAATAAAAAAGATAGTAGGGTCTTCATATACTACTACGGAGACAATTGTTTTAAGACCACTTGATTTTGTGTGTGTGATAGATTTACATGAAATACCCATGCTTTCCATTTTTACAACTAAATGGTGTGTTCCTACGAATATCTTTTAACTATACACATGTACACAGATCATATAATTTTATATTTGTGAAATCTATGTTTTTAGGATATAGGATAATATAGATATCCAACAGGAATAGTCTTTTTCCTTATTTAATAATATACAGTATCGGTTTTAAATATCAATTTTCTTTAGGAATTCTCATGGTACTTTTTGACGTCAGAATTGTTTATGACTCACCCACCCCTCCTTCCAGTGGGTACTTATGAAAATGTATCTATTCATATGCTGAAGTTCAATTCTGGATGAGTTTCATATGATTTGCCAGAACTCCTTTTGCTAACCCCTCTTGGCCATCTCACTATTAATGTATGTGACAGAGATTGAATCAGGAAATAAATCTATGACACTTCAGTTAACTAGTATTACTTATTTGTAGAATCTCTCTCAGAAAATTAACTATGAAAGACAGTGGTTATAGGTGATTCATATTACATTTGGGGGATGTTATGTGAATTAATATCCTTGCTATTTGGGGCTACTTTTGCCAAGAGTTACAGACCATATTCCATGGAGACTAGACCTTTAGTCAAGAAATACCATTCATTCAAATAAATTTGTTAAGGTTTTTCTCCTCTGTTCCAGGAACTAGGTTGAGATCAGAGACCTCACAGAAAAATAAAATGCAGCTTTAGCTAAATCATATATCTATATCTTCTACTCCCCTTGTGTTCCTAGAGAAATCTTTTCATCCAATGTATTTACTCCTCTTCTACTTTCTACAGTGCTATGTTAGGGTATCCTGGGGATTCAGAGAAAAAATATGTCCCTGCCAATCAACAAGAAACTCACAGATCAGGTAATAAGTATGTTTTCTAGTTAATTCCAGTGTCTCAGAGCCTAGGTACTCACTTTACATTCTTTCTCTAGAGTAGCAGGGTATCTTAAGTAACAAAAGAGAAGTAGCTACCTGTTGGTGAGGTTGATGGCACATCTGTCATATATTACATGATCTTCGTTTTTAATACGTAAGGCAAAACTCAAAAATAAATAAATAAAATTAAAACTCAATTTGAATTAAATTTTCAAATTTACACCAAGTAGTTTGAAAATGTAGAAATTCTATTTGGTAATAACACATGTAATCTCTTAAATTTCCACTAAGAACAAGAATGGAAGTCAATCTAAAAGAGTAACAATGACATCTGACAATTATTGAGCACCTATATATGTGTGGATGTGAGATCAAGTACAAAATGTTTGGGACACATGTTTGCATTTTGTTTTTAAAATAACCATGGAAGATACATTCTCCTTTCAGATCTTAAAACTTAGCTTCCAGAGATGTTAATTGGTCCATAATTACAAATTCTGTGAATGACAGAGTCAGGAATTAACCCCAAGCATGAATCCAGAGACACTTAGTTGTTTTCCTGCCGCTTAACAAATTGAATAGCCTTGGGACTGACTAGCCTTCAGGACAAATTCTTAGTACATTAATTTTTTTTTTTTTTTAATGATGGCGCTATCATAACTTCTCATTATATCCATATATTATTGTTTATGAAAAATCAAGAGAACATTTTTGAAAATCTCAGAATATCTGTGTCTTTTAAAGTGTGTGGCCGTCCATTCCTACTTTTTATAGAAATTCTGTTTTTGTGATTATATGATGACTGCATGCTTATCTGATTTGAAAGTTTCAGATGGAATCAAGATATGTCTATACCCATAGGGTGAGCTGAAAGAACTATTAAAAGGACTCAAGTTGGGTTATTTTTAGTAATGAATTTGTTTCATGCTTGAGCGGTTGCTCTAAGTATTTTGTAGATCCTGCTGAAGATGCACATATGTCAGAATCTATTAGGGCATTAGTAAACTGGCTTCTGGATTTATGCTCTTTTTTTCCTTCATAGCACAAGTAAAGAATATGCGCTTTAGGGGATATTATATAAGCTTTATTTTCATCTGTTATACTGAAAGTTAAGGATACAGTATTTTTAATGATGTACTCCAAACCAGATGTCATCTTAGCACACACATCAACTGATGTTCCCATTTGTCAATTTTCTTGGTATAAAGTCTAAACTAGATGAAAATCCTAATACGTATACCCTTAGGGGCATTCTTATCATCTCAGTAAACTTCCATGTTGGGTCAATTTTTGCCTAATCAAATATTAAACTTTGCTGGTTCAAAGAGTCTGTTAACTCACTCATTTGGACAGTATGGGTCTTTGTTGGTTTAGTTTTGTTTCCATTCAGCAAATTATTGACTGAGGCCTGGTAGTAGGAAATATTTGTGCTGAATAAAACTCTTTTCTGGGGAAGTTAAACTCCATATCATCAAAAATCTTTCCTGGAAGCTGCTAGATTCAGCACCTGGCCTCAGCCATTCCTGCCCCTTTGCTTGAGCACTCACACCCCTACATTCAAATAATCACCCACAGATCCTGCGGGCTACAGCACGAGCAACGGCCTCTCACTTGTGTTTTCTACATTCAGTTGTCTGACTGTGATGTGCTTAAGACCCTTTCTTTAGTTTTTCCCTGCTTCAGCCTTTCCAACACATCACAG